ATTTTAAGATGGTGAAAAAACATTTCCTGATACTGTGTCAAAACAGAAGTCTTTCCTTTCATTCTCTTTACTCCTTCTACCCTTACCCTTAGTTACTAGGGGTGTGTGGGGGGGTTTCTTATCAGAAAAAAGAAATTAAGTATTTTTTTTATTTTTTTAAGATTTTATTTATGTATTCATGAGAGAGACACACACAGAGAGAGAGAGAGAGAGAGAGAGAGAGAGAGAGAGAGGCAGAGACATAGGAAAGGGAGAAACAGGCTCCATGCAGGCAGCCCAGTGTGGGACTTGATCCCAGACCCTAGGATCACAACCTGAGCCAAAGGCAGATGCACAACCACTAAGCCACTTCAGCGTCCCAGAAATTAAGTATTTTAAACAGTGGAATGTAATTCAGGAGATGGGCTGAATGAATGGAGAAAACCAACAGGGTTTCATGATTTGTAACAACAGAAAGCCACTGCCCCCCCTTGAAGCAAAGAGATCTCTAGGTACCTGGTGGAAGCTGCACCACAGTGAGCCTGACAAGCAAGAGATGGAGTCTCAAAGGAAATGCAGCTAGTGTCTGATAGGCAGCCTAAGGACTAGAAAAGTATCCCTTCTCCTACAACAATGTTTTCCATTAGTCGGATCTCACCCAAAGCCAAATGACCCGGGAGAATGGAAAACACAGACTGCAGGGGCTGGCCCCTGTGATTCAGAGCAGGCAGAGAAAGGGCATGGAATTGCTTTGAGTACAAACTGGCCAGGGACAGGCATGATACAGAGTATAACTCATACTGTCAAAGCTGATAAATATCTCAATAAGTTTGATAGTTTACTAGATGTTTGGAGAAGTAGATCATGGATCTATAGGATAGGACTGGCTTCATGGGCACATGATCTGTGTAGTTGCACAGGCCCCACAAATTATGTAGCCAGTCCTGTACATTATTCCACAACTGTAGCTGTAGATTATTATAGAGGATGTGCCTGTGCTGTCATCTTTCCAGGATACACAAAGGACATTGGAGAAACAGTGACCCTCTAGCTGACTTTGAGGGCTGATCAGTAGTGTTGTTCAGGATCCAGGGGCAAGGGAAAAGGGTTAATAGAAAAAGGGAAGGGACCAGAATGGACCCCCAGACTCTCATAGAGGGCCAACTCTGTGGACTGAGATGCAACCCAAAAGGTATGGTAAATATTCTGCTCCCAATCCCAAATCTTCTGAACTCCCAAGTGTGTAAGATCTGCCACTAGGAAGATTGAATCATTGTTGGTAAACAACTGTGTTGGTGGCCCTTTCCAGAAATTATCAAGCTCGATAGAAGAATTATGATAATCGTGTCACAGAAGAGAGCAGAAGATCCATGAAAACTTGTATAAACATACCTAATCTCCTCAGGTTTTCTGTGAAAGTAGTTTGGTATGACGAATTTGAAATCTGTAACAAAGATTAGAATTTTCTTATTCAGAACATTCAGTGCTTGATTTTGCAGCTACCTATGCTACTAATCTCTTTCTTTTATGCATTGCTCAATAGTTATGGGACACAAAAGTGTTTAAATTCCTGGGTCTATAACTATATTTAGGATCATCTGTTTTTATTCAGACCAAATAAGCTGGGCTCCTGAATTTTTATTTTATTAAGATCTTAGTAGCAATGTTTATTTTGTAGGTAGTAAATGTGAGAATTTATATAGAGTCTCTCTTTTGATATATTGAGGTTTTCATTTAACAAATCTACTTAATGTTTACAATCTGCTAGGTTCTAAGTGCTTTACAAATATTTGCACACAAAATTCTACCCATCTTAGGTTCTCCATTTGTTAAAGGGGCTTTAACAAAAAGACAGATTAACAAGAGAAATCAGTTTAATGAATACAGTGTACATCATGCAGGAGAAACCTCAACAAAAAGTAACTCAAAGTGGTGGCTTAGAGCTCTGGCCTATACGGTGCTATCATCAATGAACAATAAATTTGTTTAGAAGTGGCAGGACAAAGGAAAGCAAATTTAGGCTTCCTAAGGTGGCAAACTGTAGGAAGATCAAAATATGAGAAGAAACTAATAGAGTAAGATTTATAGATTCCTCTAGTGACATCTCTATGCTGATAAAAGTCTAGAGTCATCTCCAGTAAAGCAGAATTAATATCCTGCCTTCAGGCAGAAAGGGTGGAGAGGTAGAGAAGGGTTATCATGTATTTGCTGCTTCCTAATTGTCATCAGCTCAAAATAATGTATAGGTCAAAGAGTCCTATTTGGGGGTGACATATTTGGATTCCTTCACAAGACCCTATTATTTCATTTTGCAGATGAGAAACTGAGACAGAAGTGAATGAAAATGTAGCCTGAAATCCCTAAAATAGATTTTTCTATTCTGTAATTCTTAAACTGGTATCCCTTTGCTGGGGATTTTCATAAGCAGAAAGAGCCAGGGGGTAGTTTCTAGATCCTCTAAAAAACCTCCCCTACCTAAGTTGTATTTTCTAGAAGCTCCTAAGAACAGTCCTCTTGAATTGCTCATCCAAACTGCCATAGTAATCTGTGCATCACACCTACCATCCTTTAATATCCACACACATTGGGTTTTAAAAAAATCACATTTCTTTTAAAACATACCTTCTGTTAGTCTTTGCATTTTTGTATCTGTCCAGGAAGAGATACACAAGAGCTGAAGGCAATGTGTTAGCAGATAGGCAGGAATATCTGATACTCCTTGCTCCCAAGACACACATGCAGACAAATGCATACATATGTAAGAAGAAACGTAGCAGGGAAGCTTCCTTGAGAGGTGATTCTCACACTGAATCTTGAAGGGGAATATGCAGTTCACCAGGTAGAAAAGCATTAAAAAAAAAAAATCTCCACGACTAGCATGTAGAGATGCACAGGAATGATGACACTGCATACAAAGTGCAGGATATGTGTGGTGTTAAAATATAGTTCCTCCCCCAAAAAGATAGAAGTCATGACTTTCATAGAGATGTAAAGATGAACATGTGTTAACGACTTTCTCTCATCAGACAGATTTTGTAAATACCAGTTGAAATGTGTCTATTCTTTGGACTTACCATTTATAGATCAGGAATAGGAATATTGAAAAGAATGTGCAAATTGAGGCAAAACTGGCTTCTTCCACTAGTGAGAGTGGAAGTCAACTGAACATCTATAAGGCAGAGTTTGCATGTCTACAAACCATTCTTTTGTATTGCTACCACTTATTTAAAACTTAGAGTTGTAAGATAGCTCCCATAGAATCAGCAGATAATGCAGAAGGGTGACTCCTTCAGTTTTCCACTGAAGCACAACTTTTCCCCTACAGTGAGTGTAAGAGACAAAATCTGTTAAGTATTCAGTGGCCACATCAAAAAAAGCCACAAATACCACACTGAAGAGTTTGGATTTCTTTCCGCTAGCTTTAGTTTCTGAGTAACGGAGGTTCGAGAAGGGTCAAGCTTTATGATCTCGCCAGATCTCTTTTCCTGCGAGGCCAGTGGGGCAAAGCCCAGCAGCAGGTGGAAGCTTCCCCGGAATAGTGCAACTGTCACGGGCTGTACCCCAAGACCTGACCTTTACCGCCCGCATGCTTGTACTCCCTGACGTCTGTCCCGCATTTTTCCTTAAGCTCTTCTTTCCAGCTTATCTCTGATCTCAGGCAAATGAAAGCGAAAGCTCCCCCAGAGGATAATAGCTGCCCAGACATGACCTCCAGCCACACCAGTCTGAGCCTGAGCCTGGACTCCTGCTTGCGCAGGCGGATCACGCAGCGACCTGTAGAATGATCGGGACAACTTTTACCTCCTTGTGATGCTAAGATCTCCGCCCAACGAGGAGCTGGAGCCTCATTCACGTAACCTGCAAGGTGTGGACCGGCGTGCGTCCAGGGCGGCGGAGCTCCTCTTGCGGTTGGAGGACATGAGCGAGCGCCACGGCCTGCTCCCCTTCGCCCCACGCTCGTGCCTGAGCACGACCCTGTGCCCAGGCCCACCTACGAGGACGAGGACGGGGCTTCCCTAAGTATTCATCCTCACCCTAAGTGACCCAGCCACCGCCGCCAGGAGCCACAGCTCTGGAAGCCCTTCCCAGTGGTCTCCTTGCTGCTGAAAACGAAGTTTTCCTTCGTTTCCTTCAGCCCAACCCTGACTCACCAAGGAGCGAACTCCCGTGGGTTCGGTTACACAAGGACAGAGGCACGAATGCAATTTAGGAGGCTGATGCACTAGATAGGTCAGATTCTGAGAGGCTGAGCCAAAATAATAGCAAAGCGCAGAGAGCGGCCGACGAGCCCAGAAAGCAGAACCGAGCCGGTGGATTGACTGTGGCTGAGGTGGATGAAGTGCAGAGCCGTGTCGGGTGGTCTCTGGCTTCCCGGCTCAGACAGCTGGGTGGCTGGTGGCACGCCCCCGACACAGGGAGGGCGAGCCTGGGAGGAAGGGTGGGCTCAGGTTTGCACCTCGAGACTTGAGGCGTCTCTACGGTATGCGGGTAAATGTGCGGAGAAGGCTGAGGCAGGAACCGCAGAGACGGGATGGTTAGAGACCACTGGACGTGGTTCCCAGCGAGCAGCCAGGCTGGCGGGACAGCAGGCCACAGCAGGCCCTGCGCGGTTCCACCGAGCTGTCGCCTAAGACAGCGCCCGGGCCGCAGCCCCGACCGGGACGTCCACAGACCAGCAGCGCAGCGGCCCAGCCCCTCGCCCATTGGGCCCCGCCCAGCTGGTCCAGCCGGCGTTGGCGGCGTTGGCGGCGTTGGCGGCGTTGGCGGCGTTGGCGGCGTTGGCGGCGTTGGCGGCGTTGGCGGCGTTGGCGGCGTTGGCGGCGTTGGCGTCGGCGGCGGCACGCAGACCCACTTCCGCTTCCGGCCTGGGCCCTCCGGCGGCTGCGGGCGACAGGCCGCGTGCTGTGGGGCCGAGGCCGGCTGGCGCTTGGCACCGGGCACCGGGAGCCTTCGCGTGGCGGGTGGGCTCCTGTGAGCGGGTGCGGCGGGCCGCGGCGGGCAGGGCGGGCTGCCCGGGGCCGATGCGGCGGCCACTGCCCTCGGGCCCGGCGGCGGCCCCCAGGCGTGAAGGCGAAGCGCGAGGTCCGAAGAAGCGAGGCCGGCGGCCAGGGCCGGGCGAAGCGGGAGGCAGCGGCCCGGAGGCTGGGGGATGCGAGGATAGCAGGCGAAAGAGGAGGACGGTGGCCCGGGCCCCCGGGAGAGAAGAGGTGGAAAGTGACAAGTCGGGTGAGGCGCGGGGCCGGAAGGCTGCCGTGAGGCGGCGAGAGGAGGGCTGGGGGCTCGGCGTCCTTCGGACCCGGCAGAGCCGCGGGGCTTAGCGGCCGCCGGAGCAAGCGGCACGGCCTGCTCCCCTTCGCTCCACGCTCGTGCCTGACCTGAGTTTGCGAGGGCCTTTCCGCTGCACGTGGTGGACCGGGAGGGTGCTCGCCCTCGGAGGAGCCCGTGGCCAGAATTAGGGAGAGGGTTCCTGCTAGGACTTGTTGGGCGAGTGTTGGGGTGAGGCTGGTGTAGGGGTCATTCAGCTGCGGGGTTCTGTGTAGCCCCTTAACAGGAATTAGGTCCTTTGTATAAAAACAGTTGTGTATTCTCATACCGCTATTAAGGGAAATAAAAGTGGATGGTTTCAGTTTTTTTATTTTAAGTGGTACTGCTTTTTTCTTCTCAATATAAAGTCTTTTCTGGTTTCTATGTTTTTATCAGCCAAGGAAAAAAAAGTTACTGAAGCCTCAAGTGATGATCCACAGCCAGGGATTGACCTGGTAAGAAAGGAATCATTAACCAGTTCGGAATCTTTCCAAACAGTGGAGTGCAGTGAATTTCAAAGTATGGCTTTCTTGCAGTCTCTGGGTCAGGAAGGTTTGGTAGAAAGTATTAGAAGAAGAATTCGAATTAAAAAACTTAAAAGCTTAGAAGGCCCACCTCTCAAAATAACTGAAAGTAAGGCTACACAAAATATTAAGGTTGAATTCCAAGATGAACTGTGCAAGAATACTCCAAAATATTCTTGTAGCAGCTTGTCACCTGGAGTGGAAAATAATTCCACTTTAAAATTACGTGATTGCAGTTGTTTCCCCCATTCCAAGGGTTGTAGTGATGAAAATAACCTTTCATATAAACCTGATGGTGGATATGTGCAAGTATCAGAAAATTCCTCGAAGTTAAAGAAAGAAAACCTTAGGAGTCTTGCAGATAAGAGTGACACAAGTAGTGCTCCTCAGCTTTTACAAACTGAAGAAAACTTAATGGGAATAAATAAATTTTTGCTTGAAGAAACTGATTTATACCAAAGTAAAAGTAATGGCTTGCTTTCCTGCCTTCAAAATGAAAAAAATAAATACTTAATAGAGGAGAGCAATGTTGATAGAAAACCCAGGAAAATGATGAAGGTGTCTGGGAAAGGAGATGAAATGATTATTGAGATGAACTTCTCTAATGTGTATAACAAGTCTGAGTTGGTGTTACAAGAAAACCAAACAGGTGCTGAGGGTAAAGAAACAGAGACTTTAGAAGCTAAAAAAAGTCCTTTAAAAGTTTTGAGAAAAATAAACCATAATACATTCTCCCCAATGGATCATTTAGTAAGTCTTCCAGAAACAGCAGAAAAAAAAACAAGTCCTGAACATGATGTAAATGCTGTGTTTCAGAAAACCATTGAGCCACTTTTGGAAGAAGAAACAAAGACTGCTTCAGAGCCCTTAGGATTTAAACGCATGGAACCAGAGGAGTACTTTAAGTTGATGCAAAGCTCAATAGTGAAATTACCTAGTTATTGCCATCTTACTGAAAAGGGATCTTCACGGGAAGACTTAAGAAATGAAGCTGAAGAATCGAAGTTAGGCTGTCACAGAACAATACCGATGACTGGTAAAAGAACTTGGCCTTGTTTTTCATGTGCTAGAATATCTCCCCAGTGTTGGAAAAAGTCTTCCTTGACAGATTCAAATAACTTTCTTCCTGAGTCTCGGGAAAGTTTTAGGCAAGATGATTTTCCTAAACACCAAACAAATCAAGCTCACTTAACTGATTCTAAATTATCATTACAAAGTACCATAACAGAAACAAACAGTGAATCTTCAAGTAAAGAAAAATTGGATTCTAATTGTTTGTCTTTAGTCTCTACAGAGGAACCTACTTTAATGATTACAAAGGAACCCATAATCGATGATAAAAAGATAAAGTCAGAGGAACCAAGAAGTGGGTCAGAGGTGGTTTCTAATACTACGGAAGATACTCAGCTAACTAATATGTCTCAAAACTTAACAGGAAGTAAAAAAAAAGATAGAGGGAATTTAACAAAATTTAATTTGACAGTGGCTTCCCAGGATGGCCAGGAAGCAAATAACTCTATAGGCAAAACTATTCATCGAAAAGCATGCATTGCTAAACAAACCCTTGTGGTTCCAGACTTGGTTAAAATACTGAACACAGGACGGCTGACTAATTTTAAAATTCCGTTACTTAAGAATAAAACAGGAAAAAAAAAAATAAATGCCAGATCATCAGAGAGAGAAGCATGTAGTCCCCTAGAACTTCTTGACAACTTCTCTGGAGCAGAGGTAAGACAAAATAGGAATAAAGAAAATGTCTCTACAGTAACTTCAGGACCTCAATCTTTGAGAATACAAAATAGCATAACTCCAGTGCAAGCTAATTCTGACTCCTGTGGCTGCAAGAATTCCTGTAGTATTTCTTCAAGCTTTTTAAAGCAAGGTGATGATAATAAACCATCCAACTACATCTCTGAACCAGGCAGTATTATTTCAAATAAGGAAGCTATTTCTCTGAGAGTTGAAAGAAATACTTTTTCTTGTGATCGTGGGTATATAGAGAAAGGTCCTGCTTTCTGCTCTAATGAACAAGAATCTTTCAAATCAGTTTCCTCTGAAATAAGTGGTAGAGATATGACTAAGAACTTTTCAGAAATTAAAATGGGGTTTCCAGATATTCTTAAAGCATATGAAGATGATGTCCTCTTAATTGATGTCATTCAAGATGACCCAGATCTCTTTGGGGTCTCCAATGAAGGGGAGTTCTCATTTACTTCAGAGTTCCCTATGATAAACCAGGAACCCAGTGTTGCTGAAGAGCACCAATCAACAGACTCTAAGCACATGGAACTTCCAGAAAAAAAAGAACCAAGCGATGACTTGAGGTATGCATGTTCAAGTATGCCTTTTGGTGCAGATTATTGTTGGGGGTTTCAAAAGCACTTTCTGCTCTTACATATTGCTAATTTATTCAGTGATCATTGAAGCTCCATTATTTTTTTTAAACCCAGTTATTTACTAAATGCAGTACAGCACATTACTCCTGAGATCTGGAAATGTCATTATGCTAAAACTTAGAGTCAAAACAATTCTATATAAGAAATTATAATGGGGCAGATTAGCCGTTCAGAACTTTATGGTTTAAGTGGCTTTTTAAATTACTAATATTGCTTTCAAAGTAAATTTATTTTCCTGTTTTCTTTAATTATTACAAATATGTGGGTATACTTTTATTTCAGCCATGTTACTTATTAAGAACTATATATTTTAACTCATTTTCTGTGGCTTCCTTCTTAGATAAAAAAAAATTCATTTGTTAACATAGAAGCCTGAGAAAAGTTTGACCTGTTTAGGACTTGAGAGTAGAATCAGAAGTTAAACCACTTTTCAAAGGAAAATAGCATTTTCTAATGGTTCTCCTTTTTAAGGTGATGGTTTTATATGATGATTTAGCCTGAGGCAATTTTAAATGGAACCATAATAACCTTCATGCTCAGGAATTTGATCTTTTCTGGTTGGTCCAAATTTTATATTATGTCATATTTTACTAAATTTTTATGATTCTTTAAGATCTAATTTATATAATATTTGAATAATAGAATGTTTTGTAAGCAGACTCAGGGAAACATGAAAACATTTTCTGCTAAGATTCACTGCTACATGACTTAAATCTCTCTGGTATTTATAAAACTCAGTTACTTTTGTGATATTGTAGTCTTCTTGATGTTCTTAGTGTTTCAGGAACTTGTAACTTATCACCAAATAGAAATGAAGAGTTTTATTATTTACTTTTAGTGATGTAAAAATGAGGTAGAATTGATAACCTGCCCACTTTGAAGACAGAAAAAATAAGATGACAGGTTGTCAACTTGTCCAGGGTCACACTGCTAATAACATAATCTGGATTTGATCCTAGGCCTGTCTTACTTGTGAATTAGTCCTTTGGGGGAAAAAATAGTGGTTCTTACTTGACCTTTATGGTTTTTATAGTTTTTTAATCTTCTTGCCACCTATCAGCTATGAGACCTTTAAAGGCAAATTACTTTGCCTTATCTGTAAAAAGGGAAGATACTTGCTTCCTGTTCAGGCAAGTTAAATCAAAGAAAGAATTTTGGTTTTAGCATGGCACTGGGTGAGGAGTAAGGGTTCAGTAGAAGGTAGTTTTTGAAGGTGATTTTAACTATTATACCATGCTTCCTTTGAGGAATACAAATTAGAGCAAATCATGTATTCAAGAGCAACATCTGTTAGCTAAGAAGATGCTGACAATGAGCTACCACCAAAGGTAGAGAGAACTGTGATTGGGCAGGAAGTTTGTTTTCTGTCCTTTTTTCCTTTTTTTTTTTTTTTTTTTTTGGTATAATGGCTGATTTTGAAAAAGCGATACACGTTCATTGCATTAAAAGTGTAAAAGGAGGAATCCTACCACCCCAAATAACAAATTAATTGCTAACAATTTGTATTCATCTGGGCATGTAGGTAAATACTGTTTCAGAAAGATTGTATCATGCCATTTTTTAGTAAAAACATTTACTTTTATTAACTCTTGATGTGGTGGGGGGAACTAAAGCAAAACTAAAGGGGATTGCTAAAACAATACACTCTGTATCACAAGAAATTAGTTTCTAGGGGTGCCTGGGTGGCTCAGTTGTTTAAATGTCTTTGGCTCAGGTCATGACCCCAAAGTCCTGGGATTGGGACCCAAGTTGGGCTCACTGTTCAATGGGAAGTCTGCTTCTCCCTCTCCTGCTCCCCTGCTTGTGCTCTCTCTCTGTCAAATAAATAAATAAATAAAATATTTTTTTAAAAAAAGGAATTAGTTTTTAAATGTTAATAAGAAAGATTATTTAAAAGTTTGAATTTTATCATGACTTTTAAAAATTGTATTCTAACTTCAGACAGCAGCACTTGCTCTTCTGAGGTGAAAGATGAATGTAACAAAGTACACTTTGCTTTTTCTCCCAGTCTTGCCTCCAACTTTTTTGTTTAAAAAAAGTTAAGCCTTGTGTCATTGGGAATTCAGATTATTGAAGAGAATGTCAAAGACTTATTCTTAGTTATGTGTTTAAATTGATTCAGTCCCTACTACCAGTCCTTTTACTTTCCTCTAATATTGACTAGTTGGCTAGATTTCAGAGCATTTCTTTTTTTTTCAAAAAGAGTTCATAATTGCTCTGTTCTTTTAGATCTTGGAAACCTAAGAATGACCTGTCTAAGAAAAAAATTGGTATCAAATTTTCAGTTTACATATTTCCTCTTTACAATTATATAATTCCTACCTGCTCTCTGGCTTTGAATGTTGTGGAAAAGTCTGAAGCCAAACTAATTCTCCATCACCTCTCTCTCAACTGCTGCCACCACTTCTACCACCATGTTGTCATCTTCTTCCCCCTTCTCTTCTGTGCTGTCAGTTGTTTCTCCTACTTTCTATCTTGGGATTGGTAATTACATGTCAGTTTTTCCCAGACGGGATGAACCATTTTGATTTGCAGTATCACGTTTACTTAAGATAATTTTTCTGATTGTCTTTGAACTTCATTCCTCTTTATTTCAAGTGCACCAGTTATACTTTTATTGGATTTTTTCTTTCATACTGCTTCTGAAATTTTGGAAACTGAATATTTCCTCAGTAGTTAAATTTTTTTCTGCAATAGAAATACCAGTTTTATAATGATGCACAATGCTACCACAAACTTAACGGGGAAGAATGGAGATATGGTAACCAGAGGGTCTGCTAATAGTTGTGCAAAGAGTTGTTAATGGTTCCAGAATTAAATGAAGGTTAAAATATAATTTCAGATTTATCCCTTTTGTCAACCAGTTGCTAGTTCATATATTATTTTTTTCCTCACTCTAAGACAGTAAGAGGTTGAAGCCTGTTAGACTTGAGTTTGCATTTAACAGGAACAGAAATTAAAGATGGGAGGCTTAGGCTCAGAAGCTCTGGACTGCCTTATTGTTAAAACAGGTGGACAAAGCTAAGTTGATTCAGTTGTTGGGGGAAGTGTTCTCATACCTGGTTAGGGAGATTTTGTAAGATGTTTAAGTTTATGTTAGAATGTCTGTTCATTGTTCTCTACAGTGGGTGAAGCCCGTATTAAAATCCAAATAATTAGAAACATGTTAGAACTAACTAACACTTTAACTGATAAGCTTGGCAATGTATATTTTGTGAAATTGATAAAACTTTTGAATTAGCCTATAAACATGGTTGGAGATTTGAGAATGTCTGTAATAGCAAGTGGACTTAGAAAATAGGATTAACTTCCATCACAATTTTATTATATCCTAAAATTTCTGTTGAGTAATCTGCAATGGATCATTGAGATTTTAAGAATCTGCCAAGTATTCAAGGGAATTATTATGTAGCCATAGAGGAAAAATCAATGTATCTGAAACAAAAATATACAAACTGAAGTACTAAGAATACTAGTAGTTTAGAAAAGGGAGATGAAAAGGCATCTTAGAAAAGTCAAAATTTCTACTGATCGTTGAAATTTGGATTGATTTTATATTTAACAAAAGGGAAGAAGGAAAAAGGTTTGGTGGAGGAAGAAAAATAATGAAGAAAAGGTGGGCAGAAGATAAAGGTAGATATGAATATGGTTGTGTAGGACAAATTATGAAGCATTTTCCCGACTTTCAGAGTTAGGAACCCTTTCTGTTCTCATAGCACCTTTTGCTACCTCACTTATGGCACTGATTTTATGATAGTATAATTTACATCTCTCTTACCTGTTAAATTGTTGGACTTCCTGAGGCTAGGAAATGTCCATGTGTTATTTACCTCTGCAAGCGCAGTCCCTCATACTCTGAGGGAATTAAACTTTTAATTTTAATTTCTGCTATAGTAGGCTATTCCTCAGGCATCTAGATTTAAATATATATAAGTGGAGTCAGTAAATGCATTCTTTGTAAAGCAAATAGATGTTGAATAGTAAGGTGATGCCAGATACACCAGTAGAATTGATTCTGGTGATCAGTGAGAATCAGTTATACCACATAAAGAGCCTTGTACATTTTGAAGCTGGTAATAATAAACACAAACTTCTAACACAAACACAAAAATACCTGGCACCAAGGTCATTCAAGTGACTCATAGGTCATTCTTTCTCCCCCTTGTATGTTTGGACTCTAGAGTAGGCTATCTTTCAGGATGCTTAACTTGCTCCATTCTCCTTTTCCACTGAATGTCTGAGATACTCTACAGTGCAAAATTTTACACTCAATTGTCAAAACTGATATTTAGTGTCTACCCTGTGCTAGATACGCCATTTATTTCACTTAGTTTCAACCTCAGAAGTATTTTACTATTTTAATTTTTTATAGTTGACATATAATGTTATACGTATAATGTTATATAAATTTCAGGTATATACAGCATAGTGACTTAACATCTCCATACCTTAAGCTGTGCTTACCACAAATATAGCAACCATCTGTCACCATACAACACTATTACAGTATCACTGACTATTTCCTATGCTGTGCCTTTTAATCCCATGATTTATTCATTCCATAGCCAGAAGCCTATATCTTCTACTCTCTTTCACCTACTTGTCCCATTCCCCTAACCCCCGCCCCCTTCCTTCTGTCAGCCATCAATTTATTCTCTATAGATTTGATTCTGGGTTTTTTTTTTTTTAAGATTTAATTTATTCATGAGAGAGAGAGAGAGAGGCACAGACACAGGCAGAGGGAGAAGCAGGCCCCATTCCATGCAGGGAGCCTGATGTGGGACTCAATCCCGGGTCCCCAGGACCACACCCCGGGCCGAAGGCAGCGCCAAACCGCTGAGCAACCCGGGCTGCCCCTGATTCTGCTTTTTGTTTATTCGTTTGTTTTTTAGATTCCACATACGAGTGAAATCATATAGTATTTGTCTTTCTCAGTCTGATTTCACTTAACATGATACCCTGTAAATCCATCCATGTTGTTGCAAATAGCATGTTCATCCTTTTTTAATGCTGTGTAATATTTGTGTGTGTGTGTGTGTGTGTGTGTGTGTGTACCACGTCTTCTTTATCCGTTAATCTATCAACGAATACTTAGTTTGCTTCCGTATTTTGGCTAATGTAAATAATGCTGCAGTAAACATAGAGGTGCGTATATTAGTGTTTTCATTTTCTTTCAGCACTAGCATTACTGGATCATATGGTAGTTCTATTTTTAATTTTTTGAGGAACTTCCATACTGCTTTCCACAGTGGCTGCACCAATTTGTGGTGCAAATTGGTACAAATTTCCTACCAACAGCACACAAGTGTTCCTTTTCTCCACATCCTTACCAACACTTGTTATTTCTTGTGTTTTTTAATTTAACCATTCTGATAGTTGTAAAGTGATCTTTCATTGTGATTTTGATTTGCATTTTTCTGATAATTAGTGATATTGAGCATCTTTTCATGTGTCCATTGGCCATCTGTGTGTCTCCTTTGGAAAAATGTCTGTTCAGTTCCTCTAAAACTAGCCATCTTTAAAATTAAATCAAAGTGTTTAACTTTCCAAAGGACACAAAGCTATTAGTAAGGGCTAAGATCTGAACCCAGGGTAATATGCTCTAAAGTTTGTCTCCCCAGCCCAAAACAGAATGCTGGGAGAGTGGCATTTTGGTTATTTCTTTGGCTTTAATTTGATTATAGATTGCCAAAGAATAGTAATTTACTTTTGATCTCTTTTCTCTCTTATCTCTTCCTCTTTAAAGTGGCAGGTGTTGATGGTAGAGGGGTTCCTGGGTGGCTTCAGCCCGGGTCATTATCTCAGGGTCCTAGGATTGAGCCCCACATGGGGCTTGCTACTCAGTGGGGAGTCTGCTTCTTCTTCTCCCCCTGCCCTCCTCTTCACTTATGTTTTCTCTCTCTCTTAAATAAATAATAAAATCCTTTTAAAAAGTAATAAAATGGCAGGTGGGGCAGTATGAAGAAGTGCCATTCTGATTTTTACTTTTTTCTCTTTTGGACCACATAAACCATTGTTTTTGTCTTTGCCAGAAAATATGGTATTGTACTTGATGGAGTGATCATTTGTAGTATCAGGAGACCTACCACTTCACACCATGGCATCAGGTTAGGCAACCTCTGGCCAATGAATTATCCGGATATGTTTCTCTGCTTTTGGCCACTAATATTTGCAGAATAATTGTAGTACTTTAAAATTAAAGCAATATACTTGGTATACCTATTTATGGTTTTGTTTTACTTGCAAGAATAACCTATGTGTATGGAGCTATACCTATTTGAGGATGTAACTTTCAGGTTAATTAGAAACTGCAAAACACCCCTCAGTTCTTCTCTGTTTGAGTCACTTAATTATATTCATGCTATTACTTTAATATCTCACAATTTTTCCTTCCTCTCAGTTCTCACTGCTACTGTCTTATTCATCTTTCTCTTAGAGTATTGTAATGAGCTTCTGGTTAATCTTCCTGAATTCTCTTAGTTTATCCTCCTTCATAGTGATATTCCGAAATAGAAATTGATCTGCCAGTGACGACTACGTTGCTTCAGTGGCTTTCAGCCTCCTGAAGATAGTATAAATTGCTTGGCATGTCTTTTTAAGGCTCTTTAGGGGATTACATCTACTTTCTCTTTGACAACTATGGTTTTAGGAAGGAGGAAAGGGGAGCAAAAAGCTAATGAAAGATAAGCACAACAAGCAGCTCACTGTTTTCACGATATGTCATGTACTTGAATTCTTTTGCATATGTTTCTTTTTCTTTTTTTTTTTTTTTTTAACGTTTTATTTATCCGAGAGAGAGAAAGAGGACAAACAGGGCTAGGGCAGAGAGAGAGAGAGAAGCAGATTCCCCACTGAGCAGGGAGCCCAATGGAGAGCTCAATCCCAGGCCCTCAGGATCATGACCTGAGCCAAAGGTGGATGCTTAACTGACTGAGCCACCCAGGTACCCCTGCATAGGTTTCTTTATCTGGAAGTCCCTTTTTATTCAGTTATCTTTCAGATCTCCTCTGAGCTGTTATTCTAGTAATTTGTTCCAGTAGTTCCCTTGGTATGTATCTCAGTATATCCTTTCTGCTTGTATGTAAGACTTCTTTATACTAGGAGTTCCTAGATAGAAGAGAGGCATCTTCATTTGGGTCTCCCTAGTGTCTGGCCAAGAAAATGTTAGGTGCTGAGTATATGGAGAGCAACTAGACACACAGAGGCTTTGTCCTCACTGAGCTTTTGATTTACCAAGAGAGGCAGATAGTTAAGCAAGTACAGTCAGATATGATTGCACGTTGCATATTGAGAAATACAAGATATTTAAGACTTCCTGGTCAAAATGACCTTAAGATGAACATTAAAGGAATTAGCCAATTGGTGAAGAAAAGTAAATAGAATTTTTTTAAAGATTTTATTTATATATTCATGATGTGGATGGAACTGGAGGGTATTATGCTGAGTGAAATAAGTCAATCAGAGAAGGACAAACATTATATGTTCTCATTTATTTGGGGAATATAAATAATAGTGAAAGCGAATAGAAGGGAAGGGAGAAGAAATGCGTAGGAAATATCAGAACGGGAGACAGAGCATAAAGACTCCTAACTCTGGGAAACGAACTAGGGGTGGTGGAAGGGGAGGGGGGTGGGGGGTGGGGGTGAATGGGTGACGGGCACTGAGGGGGGCACTTGACGGGATGAGCACTGGGTGTTATTCTGTATGTTGGCAAATTGAACACCAATAAAAAATAAATTTATTATTTTTAAAAAAAGATTTTATTTATATATTCATGAGAGACACAGAGAGAGAGGCAGAGACCTAGGCAGAGGGAGAAGCAGGCTCCTCGCAGCGAGCCCGATGCAGGACTCAGTCTGGGAAACCCGGGATCACGCCCTGAGCCCAAGACAGATGCACAACTGCTGAGCCATCCAGGCGTCCCTAGAATTTTGTCACAGATGGAAGAAATAGCCAATATAAAAACCCACAGGGAAAGACATGTCACAACTGAGAAACAGAAATAGTGTCTGGTGGCTTAGAGTTCCTATGGCAAGAAATAAAGCTACAAAATGTGTGGGAAGCTCAGTCATTGAGGGCTTTTCAAATAGGATGACCATAGAATTTATCTTCTGAGCCGCAACTTTTGAGAATGAAAAGAGGAATTTTTAATAATATATGCCAGGACAACAGGCATAAACTGACCATCCTAGATAAACTGGAAGTCATTGTGAATTTGAACTTTATCCTAAGAGCATATGGAGATTTGCCAAAGGACATAATGATTTCAGACAGAGATGGGAGTGTATTTGAGAGAGGTTTAGGACTTGAAAAATTGATTAATCTGATTGGTTAATCAGAGGTAAGAGTTAAGGATGATACCTGGTTCCTCTTATTTGAAAGAAAGGCATTACAACTCTCTGATATGAAGAAGGATTGGGGATGTGTTCTGGTCATGATGTGAACATGTTGAGTTGCAGAGATCTTTGAAATACTAAAATGGAGACAAGTCTAAATAAAAAAGGAAAAGAATTAGAGGAGGAGATTTGTACATTAGGAGTCTTTTGTTTGTATTATTATCTTCTCATTCTTTAAACTATATATTTCTGATTGTTTCTAGATCTTATGTCAGGGAGCAAATACTTCATATTTTGCAAAGACTGTAAAGAGTGATGTTTATAAAATGTTTTATTTGGTTTTTCTCTTTCTTGAGAAGGAAGTAATCCTGAACCAATGGGCATTTGTAGAGCTGTAGGATAGGTTTAATAAAACTAACTTATTAAATGAAAAAAAATGGTAGGATTATGGTGTTTATTATATTTTATTCTGTGTACATTTATGTATTTCTTATTTTAAAAAAATGGAATAATGTTTGGCCATTTGTTTTTGAATTGGCTCCTATGGATGTAGTTTTCATTTGTTGAGCCTATGCTGTTGGTTTTAAAAACATTTTGTCTTATTTAATCCTCATAATAACCTCATGGATAGGTGATAATTCCCATTTTACAGATACGGTTAGGTTAGACTCAAAGGAATTACATAATATTGCCATAGTTGACACAGTTAAGTGGCAGAACAATATCTGAAACCAGGTTGGTCAAGCTCTGATCTTCATACACTTGACCTTTAGACCACATGTTGTCTTCAGAGATTACAAAAAAAAAAAAAAAAAAAGAAGAAGATGATTCAAACTGTTCTCAAACTATCTTCCTTTTACACTGGCAGTAAAATATATATACACATACTTTAGAAGTTAAACATCAGCTCGTACTGGTGTAATAGTTTAAAATTGTTTTGAATGCTTGGTATATGTCATCAGGTTCTCTCTGAGTAACAGTTTTATATGACAGCACTCCCTAACAATTGTGGTATATGTGTGTGATTAAAGAACCAAATGAGTAATCTGTTTAGGTGTGCTGCATTCTGAGCTCCAGTGCAGAAGACCTCTATCCTTGTAGGACTTGAGCTGATGTTCACCAGCTATTAAAGCTGGTAATATATAATGTTTAGAGAAGTAGATCTGTGTAGAATCTGTTATAATGTTCAAGCTCTGTTTGCTTTATAGTAGAAAACTTCCTATACTGGATCCTGGATTGATGAAGTCAGAGATCTGTGCTTCTTTATCAGCAGGTAAAATTTGACTTTTTTGAAATATGCAATATTGAAGTATCTTTTTATATCTCTATTCAGGCCTAATCAAATGAATTAAATAGGAAGCTCTTCATTTTAGAGTCTGTTAACTATATGTTTTACAGTTTGTCAGTTTTCCTCAGTTTTAGTTGCTTGGTTGGCAGATAAGATTTTGAGAAATTTTCCATTTGATTAGTTAGTAAATAACTAGTTAGGTTTTATCTACAAAAGAGATCATTGACCTTAGAAACTTTTGTGGCTGTATTTTGAAATGGAAATACATGTTAAAGCTTTGTCACATTTTAAATCTGAATCTTTTTAAGAATTTTTATAATTAACAGTTAATCATAAGTTTAAATACCTGGATCTTTACTTCACAGGAAATATTTTCAAAGTTAATTGTATTTTGATTTTAAGGTTTTAAAAATATATTGAACATAGCAGGGCATAAGAAACATTCTTATATTTATCTTGGTATATCTCAATTTTGTCCTAGTGCCAATTCTTTTTATACTGTATAATGGAGTTACTTTGAAAGAGAAAGAGGAATAATTATATAGTTTGCTGAAAACTACTTATGTTTGTCACATTGGACTTTAAAAGAGTCTGGATTTTGGGATCCCTGGGTGGCGCAGCGGTTTAGCGCCTGCCTTGGCCCGGGGCGCGATCCTGGAGACCCGGGATCGAATCCCACGTCGGGCTCCCGGTGCATGGAGCCTGCTTCTCCCTCTCCCTGTGTCTCTGCCTCTCTCTCTCTCTCTCTCTCTCTCTCTGACTATCATAAATAAAAATAAAAAAAAAAAGAGTCTGGATTTTAACTCATTTTTAGAACAGTCTTTGAACAATTTAGTCGTTGCACTGTATAAAGCTTCTACAGTTAAATATTATTTCTTTTCAGCAAATGAAATTAAACATGATTCCAAAGGAGAAAACATTTCCTTAGGGAAAGTTACTAATGAGACCTATGGATGTGAAGAGCTGGGAGACTTCAGTGAAAACGTAAAAGGTTCAGACTTGGATGAAAAGGTACTAGGAGATCTTGCATTTTCTTATTTCCTAATCTAAATGGTGGTGATGCTAAAATTCATCTTAATAGTGCTGTCAGTAGTTCAGACTTGGATGAAAAGGTGCTGTGGAGAATCTTTTGCATTTTCTTATTTTTTGGTCTAAATAGTCGTAATAGAGATTCATCATAACAGCATGGTCAGGTGATAAGTGTCACTACTTTTTATTGAGTAAAAGAATCACATCATTCTGCCCATAGGATATATTGTTTGATCCTTTGTACAAGCACACTATGAACAGGTATCCTTTGCCTGGGAAAGTGTGATGTTTAATTATGTATTTAGCCTTTTTTTTTTTTTTGTATCCTGCAGTGGGTCTCAAACCTATGTAAATCTAAATTGTTAATATTTTCCTGCCTCATTAAACACAAAGTACTGAGTATCATTTGATCTTTGAAGCTTAAGAATATCTTAGTGCCCCAGGACTGTAATGCACACATCAGTTAACCACAGATATGGAAGGCATAGAAATTGGAGCTAAACCAAACTTGATGGTGGAACATACCACTGGCATATGATCTGGGGAAAAATTAGGTTATCGAGTTTATTCTTGTTTCCTGCCAGAAAATGTGTGTGATTGTCTTAACCTTTTGCATAATTTAACTGACTCATATGCAACTATTTCATATTTTCTTCTTTCTCATTATTTCTCCTTATTTATCCTCACAGCTACCAATCTAGTTTTCTACTTCACCAAGAAAATTGAAGTAAATGGAAAAGAACTTCCTAATTCCCTACCAATACATTAGCCCCCTTAACCTGCATCTGCTCCCAAAATTCCACCTTCTCTTCAATTACAATAGATGATCTAGCCAAGGTTATTCCTTCCACCTGTGTGTTAAAGTCCATCTCTTAAAATACTACTCCATAATTCTTCTTTTATTATTGGATCATTCTCATCAATATATAAACATGCTGTTTATATATTGATAAATATATAAAAATATATATATCAAACAAAACTACAACAAAAGTTTCCATAGTCCTATTTTTCTTTTCAGCTGTCATCCTGTTTCTCAGAAGGCTTATCTATATCCACTATCTCTAGTTTCTTTCCTCTGGTTTTCTTGAACCCATTCCAAAGATATTTGCCTTCATCGCAACCAAAACTATCCTTAAACTCTCCAGTGACCTCCTTGTTGCTGGAGCTAATGGACATTATCTCAATCTTAATCTTACTTAACCATCATCATTTTTTGTCACAATTGACCACACTTTCCTTGAAACCCTGACTTCCAGGGTAAACATATTGCCTGGTTTATTTTCTGCCTTTCTGTCTGCAACTTCCCAGTTGATTTTGCTGGTCTCTCCTGATCTCCCTGACCTCTATCTATTGGAGTGACCCAGAACCTAGACCACAATGTGTTCTTTCCTATCTAGATTTGCTCCTTAGATGGTCTCATCCAACCTCATTGCATTAAATGCCATCTCTGTACTAAGACTCTCAAATTTGTAACTGCAACCTGAACTACTTCTCTGAACTACTTACCTTTATGTCTAGTTGCCTACTGGATCCACTTAGACACTTAGATGTCCAATTAGACATCTCAAATTTAACTGTTCAAACTGAATTTCTGGAACATCTATATACAGGTTACCAGCTTACCTTATTTCAGTTGAGGACACATACAGACTGAAAGCAAAGGGATGGAATGGCTGTTAACCAAAAGATGAGAAATAACATGCCGGTAAAGATGTAGAGAAAAAGGAACTTTCTTTATAGGAGTATAAATTGGTACAACTACTATGGAAGAAAAGCATGACAGTTCCTCAAAATATTAAAAATAGAACTACCACACAATTTAGTATTTCAACTACCAAGTTGTACAAAGTATACAAAGAAAACAAATTTTAATCAGAAAGATACACTCATCTCTGTGTTCACTGCAGTATTACTTACCAGCATTGCACTGAGTAAAATAAATTGGACAGAGAAAAACATACTGCATGATCTCACCTTTAAGTGGAATCAAGACAAAACCCAGACTCAAAGATACAGAAAACAGATTCATGGTTGCCAGAAAGGAGGGGGAGGTTGGGATGGGGCAAAATCCATAAAGGGAGTCAAAAAATACAAACTTCCAGTTATAAAATAAATATATGGCATAAGGAATACAGTTACTCACTTTGTATATGACAGATGGTAATTAGACCTACTGTGATCATTTTGTAGTATATACAAATGTCAAAGCACTATGTTGTATACTTAAAACTAAGGTGATATTTGTGTGTCAGTTTTACCTCAATAAAAAATTAAATAATTTGTAAAAAACTTTTTAAAAACTGAATTTCTGTTATATATTCCCCTCCTTACAACAGACCAGTTTTTCCTGTAATAATCCCTTTTTCTGTTAATGACAACTCCATCCTTTTATAATTACTCAGGTTCAAAACCTTAGATCTCCTTACTTTTTCTCTCAGTCCATATCCAGACTGTAAAGGAAGCCTGCAGGTTTTATCTCAGATAATGTCTAGAAACTCTACTTTTCATCACCCCCAATGACCACACAGGCCCAAGATAATGTAATCTCTTGCCTGAATTATTGCAATCACCTTCTAATAGGTCTGCTTCTAATTTTGTCCTCTTATAGTTTATTCTCAATACAGCATAAGTTAGATAATGTTATTCTTCTGCTTCAGACTGTCCATTGGTTTGTAATGACATTTAGATTCAAAGCCAGACAGAGCCTTGACTACCACGTGCGGTACTCTTTCTCATCTCTTGTACTACTCTCCATATTCTTTTCACTCTCACCATCAGAGCCTCCTTGCTGTTCTTGGAACATACCAAGGCTTTCTCCCACTTCAGGGCCTTTGCCCTTGCCATTTTATCTGCCTGTAATGTTCTTCTAAAAATAGTATAGTTCTCTTACTTCCATCACATCTTTACTCAGATTTCATGTTCTCAGAGATAACTTACCTGGCCATCCAATCTAAAGCTTCAGTGTTCTCCTTTCTCCTAGCATTTCTTTTTTCTTTAATTTTTTTTTAAGATTTTATTTATTTATTCATGAGAGAGAGAGGCAGAGACACAGGCAGAGGGAGAAGCAGGCTCCCCACAAGGAGCCTGATGCAGGACTTGATCCCAAACCCCGGGATCACGCCCTGAGCCGAAGGCAGATGCTCAACCACTGAGCCATCCAGGCGTCCCACTCCTAGAATTTCTTAATTCCCCCTCTCACATTCACTATGATTTAACATTGTAAATATTTACTTATTTATGTTTATATCCTCCTGCTAGAGTGAAACTCCATGAAAGCAAGGATTTTTGTTCATTTTGCTTACTACTTCATCTCTAGCACCTAGAGTAGTCGCTGGTACAGAGTAGTGACACAAATAATTGTTGAATGCATACTGAATGTGAACTCCATTTAAAAATAGTCTTTAAGTGCTAGAGGTATCTGTCCTGTAACACAGATTATCTCACAGAGTACTTGCTTAATGGTTTGGTGATGATAACAACCAGTTATGTACTGAGCCTTTGTTATATGTCAGCCAGCCACTGTTAAATATCTAGCAAAGGTTATCATGTTTTATCCACATAATATAACAAGGTGCTGTTCAGGAGTCCCCAAGGCCACCCTCAGATGTAGTGATTTGCTAGAATTTGCAGAGGTTAGCAAAGCTGTTGTACTCAAGATTATATTTTATTACGGTGAAGAAATGCACATTAAAATCCACGAATAAATCACTCTGTCCATGAGAAACCAGGCACAAGTTTCCAGTTGTCCTCTTCCATGTGGACGCTGCTTACTTTTCCCAGCAATGATGCATGACAATAACAGTATTGCTAACCAAGGGAACTTACTTGAGGCCTGGTCAGAGTCTTTATTGGGGTCAGTCACATTGGTATGGCTGGCTGCCTGCATGACTGACCTTAGTCACTTGGTTTCTCCAGACCCTTCAGAGGTCAAGCTGTTGTCACAAGGCCCCCACTGTAAATCACATTGTTTTAGATCATCTGGAGTGACTGAAGGCCCCTACATGAATTACATTGTCAGCATACACTGCCTGGTCCCAGGCCCCTAGTTAAACAAAGACGCATTTATCAGGCAGCATATTCCAAAGGCTTAAGTTACCTCCAAGGAGTAGGTCAAAGGCTAAACCTTCATTGCTCACAGTATAGACAACTCTGACTTGCTGAGATAGTCCTTTGCTGGACATGGGGTGTGTACTGTTATTTTCTTTTGTAGATAAAAGAAACCTGAAATTTGAGTCAGTTTCTTGTCCATAGTCACATAGCAGAGTTCCTTGACACTATAGGTAGGCAAAGTTTTCTTTAAAGGGCTAAATGGCAAATACCTATATGGCTCTGTGGGTTATATAGTTGTGGTTGCAATTACTCAACTCTGCCATTGTAGCAAGAAGCCACAGACCATATATAAACAAATAGTAGTTGCTATGTTCAGATAAATCTTTATTTACAAAAACAGGCAGCCTGCAGGCTGTAGCTTTCCAACCCTTGCTCTTAAGTATTAAAAAAAAAAAAAGAAGAAAAGAAAAGAAACAGTTTGTACTTTATTTAAAGCTGAGGAAAAGATTTAATCCATTCACTCCTGCAAGCATAGATTTTAGGAGATGTCTGCCAGAATTCACTGAATTTTTAACACTGTAAATATTTTAAAGATGTAGACTATTTTTGGCATTGGCTCTTTTAAAAATAATCTGCAGAATCATTTAGTTGCTTCCTGGTATAGTAAGATTTCTTGGTTTTGCTTAAAAGAAAGGGATGATGCATTTATCCTTCTAATACCATGGTAAGCTTCAAAGTACCAACTCCTTAAAAAATACATGACCAGGTAATAATATTTATCTTTAAGATATCTGGCCCCCAAGTTTCAGAATTAAACTTTATCCATATCTCTCACCTTCATTTTAGGAGTTTATTTTTTTTTAGGAGTTTATAAGATTAACTTCAGGACATATGTTTGGCCTAGCACTTCCCTGCATTTATATACAGTT